TTTAATTTGCATAGAAGTGTTGAGTATCTTTTCATGTACTTACTGGCCTTCTTTGGAGAAATGTCTGTTCAAATCTTTTGTCCATTTTTGCATTGAGTTTTTTTTTTCTTGTTGAGTTTTAGGAGTTCTCTAAATATTTTGAATATTAATCCCTTGGATGAATGATTTGCAAACCTTATTTTGTAGGTTACCTTTTCACTCTGTTGATATTGTCCTTCGGACAGATTTTAAATTTTCATTGCTGAGATGTGGATCTAGATCTATCAGACTCCAAAGTCTGCAAACTTAATGTGTTATAATATTTCCTGGAATATAAGCTATAGAGTTGACAAGAAGAAGAAGTTCGCTATTTCTGCCTTGAAGTTTAGGGAAGGCTACCAGATGAGATACTTAAACAGAACATTGAAGAATGAGAGAAGACCAGATGAATGGGAATTTGGGGAAGTAGCAGGGCAAAATTTGAACAGAAAAAACGAAGAGTAAATCACAGAAGTGTTAAACAGATGTCATTTGGGGATATGATGAGTAAATTTTATGTGGTTGGAGCGTGGGGTGTGTACTGGAGAGTGGCATGTGAAATAAGAGAGTAGGCAAGCCAAGATCAGGGAGGATCATCAGAGGTATAGAGAGTTCATCTCAAAAATCCTTTGACAACACTGTGGACAGATTGGGGTGCAAGGAGAAATACTGAAATGAGTGATAGTACAGGGAGAGCCAAATGAAAACAGTAGTAATGGGAATAAAGAGGAGGATGTAAAAAAAAAAAAGTCAGATTTTTCTCACCCAACTGTTTTATTCTAATGTCTCAAGAAATTTTTTGCCTCTTCATATTTCTCAGTGTTTAGCCATAATGGTAATGTATATAGGGTGCTATCAAGTTTTTTTAAATTTGATGGTTGCAGGTGCAGTACAGCCCATGGGAGGAATCTGGCTCTCTGCCTGTTTTTATAAGTAAAGTTTTACTGGAACACAGTCTCATTAATTCATTTTATGTATTTTCTGTGACTGCTGTCACACTGCAATGACAGTTGTGCAGTTGTGAGAAAGATCATATGGCCCACAAGGTCTAAAATATATACTTTCTGGCCCTTTGCAAAAGAACTTTGCAGGGTATCAAATTTAAGACATTCTGTGATCTAAGAACTAAAGTGCATGTGATAGTGCTTACTTAGTACTATATGTTGGTCATTGTAAATTAGATGACATTGACCGCATGAGTCATTCATATTCTACCCATAATGTATTTGGAAAACTCTCCAAAATTATAAGTTTTCTTAGATAATGGAGGTTTAAGGTAAAGATATTTATGTAAAGAAAGAATGGAAAACTCAACTGTGTAGTCTGGTCTCAAGGAAAAACAGGACATGTTGCTAGTCAGTCCTCATAAGGACCAAAATGTAGTTTAAAGCTGCACAATTGTTTAAAATTATAGCATAGCCCTGGCAATCAAGTTAATTTGTCAGCCTGGCAGTACAGGTATTAGTTGATCCCAATTCCAGTGCTCTGATAAAATGAAATCTATGTACAGAGCTTGCAATTTTAGGCTGCTCAAGAGCTGACCAGATTGATGTAGCCCATCTCCATAGTTTAGGCTGTTTCTGTTGGAAAGAGCTTTCATGCTAGTTAACTTTTCCCTAAATGTACTTTTTTAATGGCATCCTGTTTTTGTCTGATGAATGTAGGTAGTATCTTTTCATCTCTCTGAGAAATGTTGATATATTTTATAAAGTTTCTTTTGCTTTTCATGATAGAAGCTTTTCACAACTTTTTCATGTTTAAGGGTGGGAGACTTAAAATCAGACTGGGAGCTCTGAGTGTGCATGTAGGGAGGAGAGGACTATAGTGCTGTCAGGTGTACTGTTGGGACCAGTCTTCTTATGAAGTTACCCAATCTCCTGCCTGGTGGGTTAAGTCTTGTCTGCAGTGGGTTGGGAGCCTAGTGGGAAAAGAGGATGGGAATTTTGTCATTCAGTTTGCATATATTCCTTTAATTTTCCTGTTCTTGTTACTGTTCTTCAGCCTTCACCTGTGCCTGGCATTTCCCATTCCAGGCATGCTCTATTTTCCCCTCTATAGAGGGGGAAAAACCCAAGCCTTGTGTTGTCAAGTAGGGAATTTAGCAATCAGAATGCTTGGTAAGAAGCTTTCAGCCAATTCTGTTTCTGTGTCCCAACTTTACTTCCTACTTCCAGTGATTAATCACTTGGTGCATTCTCTTGAGGCTGCTATAAGTAAACCATCTTGGTTCTTGGCTTTTCCCAATTACCAACAGGATAGGAGTCCACTTTCTTGAGTGTGCTATAGTTAGCATTGGTCCATCTGTTTGGAGCAAGTTACTTGATTGTTATCTCTACTTCTGTTTTTCCTGGCCTTCATTATTACTGCTTTTTTAATTTTTGAAGTTCCTTCACCAGAGTTTAGGGAGAATTTGAAAGGGAATTCAGATACACTTGTGTACTCTATCATCTTTTTGTGAAAATTCATTCCCCACATACTTTATTTTCTTTTTTGGTTTTACTTTTTGCATTCTTTTGAAATCTTGCATATTAACTTCACAAAAATTAATCAATGTCTTTGCCTTGCTCACTACAAGGATCTTGGAACAGTTAACTCCAGTTACCTTCATTCCTGACTTTAATGCTGTTATTCAGTATTTTATTTTTATTTTTAAATCCCCAAATTAGACATCATTATGTGTATTTTAGCTTTACCTAATGTTACCCCTTTCTTAGTCACTTTTGTGTCTTTAGTTGCAGAACTTCCTTTGAGGATCATTCTTATTCCTCAAGTACATTCTGTAGAAATTCTTCTAGTGATAGTCCATTGGTATTAAAATTATTTAGTCTAGAAAATTTTTTTCCCTAATTTTTTTGTTTTTAACAGCTTTATTGAGATATATTTCACATACCATATAGTATACCCATTTAAAACATACAGTTCAATAGCTTTTAGTATATTCAGAGTTGTGCATCCATCACCACAATCAATTTTAAACATCATTACCTACAAAAGAATCCTTGTGCCCCTTAGCTGTCACTCAATACCCCATCCACTCAGCCCTAACCCTAGCCCACCAATGACTGACTTACCATCTCCATAGATTTGTCTACTCTGGACATTTCATGTAAGTGAAATCATACAGTATATGGTCCTTTGTGACTGGCTTCTTTCACTTAGCATAATACTTCAAGATTTATCCATGATATAGCATTTACTAGTGTTTTTTCATTGCTGAATAATACTCCATTGTATGACTATACCACATTTTATTTATCTGCTCATTAGTTGATGGACATTTGTGTTTCTATATTTGGCTCTTATGAATAATGCTACTGTGAACATTCATGTTCAAATTTTTGTGTGGACATGTTTTCATTTCCCTTGGTTATATACCTAGGGGTATAATTGCTAGATCATATGGTAATTCAGTGTTTAACTTCCTGAGGAACCATAAAACTATATTCTGCTGCAGCTGCACCATTTTACATTTTTTACCAGCACAGTGTGAGCATTCTAGTTTCATCCTTGTCAACATTTGTTATCTGTCATTTTGATTATTGCCATCCTAGTAGGTGTAAAGTATTATTTCCTTATGGTTTTGATTTGCACGTCTCTGATGGCTAATGATGTTTAGCATCTTTTCATATACTTATTGGCCATTTGTAATATCTTATTTGGAGAAATGCCTGTTCAGTTCTTTTGCAGTTTTTCAGTTATTTGTCTTTTTGTGCTGAGTTGTAACAGTTCTTTATTCTAGATACTTTTATCAGATACATGATTTACAAAATTTTTCTTCCATTTTGTGGGTTGGTTTCTCTCTTGATGGTGTTTTTGGAAAATGAAAGTTTAAATTTTTGATTTTTATATCCAATTTATCATTTTTTTCCTTTTGTTGCTTTTAGTGTGGTATCTAAGGAACTATCTAATGTGCAGGGTCACATAGAATTATACCTGTTTTCTTCTAAGAGATTTATAGTTTTAGCTCTTACATTTAGGTGTGTGATCTACTGTGAATTAACTTTTATCCATGGTTGTGAGGTAGGGATCTCTTGCACATGAATATCTATTTGTTGAAATGTTTGTCTTAGTACGCCTATCAAAAATCAGTTGGCCATAGATATTTGGATTTATTTCTGGGCTCAGTTCTATTTCATTAATCTGTATATCTGTGCTTATGCCAATACTATACTGTCTTGATTACTGTAGCTTTGCAGTAAGTTTTGAAATTGAAAAGTGTGAGTCCTCCAATTTTATTTTATTTTTTTCAAGATTGTTTTGACTATTCCTGGTCCTTTGTATTTCCATGTATTGACTTGTGAATGTCTATAGAATAGACAGTTGGGATTTTAATAGTGAATGTGTTTAATCTGTAGATCATTTCGGGGACTATTGCTGTCTTAATGCTGTTAAGTCTTCTAATCGACGAGCGTTGGATGTCTTTATATTCATCTAGGAGTTCAGTTTCGGATGTGTTCAGTTTGGAATGTCTTTTAGATACACAAGTGAAGTTGTTTACTTCAGGAGTGAAGTCGGAGATAGAAATATATAAAGTTGGGACTTGTTGGTATATAGATGATACTTAAAGTCGTAATAACACTGGATGATATCCTTGAGAAAATGAGTATGGAGAGATGAGAGAAGAGGGAACTGAGAACTGAGCCCTTAGGACACTGCAATATTAAGAGAATGGAGAGAACAGAAGGAATCATCAAAGGAGACTGAGAAGGAACATTAGGTAGGTAGGACAGAAACCTAGAGAATGTCTCGGGAACTCAAAGGAAGAAAGTAAACCATGGAAAAAGGAATGATCAGCCATGTCAGATTTTGCTGACCGGGTAGGCAGGAGGAATACTAGAATTGAAAATTGAATTTAGCAATGTGAAGGCCACTAGTTATTATATGGCCTTCAGTGGAACATGGAAATGGCCTAGTTAGCACTATTTATATATTATTTAAGTAGGAATTTTTGACGTTTATAGTGCCTTCTTTGCTGTTTTCAGGTTTGCCGTACTGTTTGTGGTATGTCTGACAGTGGATCACAGCTTGGTTCAATGGGTAGCCTGACCATGAAATCACAACTTCAGATTACTGGTAAGTCTTAAAAAGATTTATTGCTTTACTTTTTTTACCCCCAAATATTAAAAAAAAAATCCTAAGAAAGTCTTTAGTGGCTGTTACATATCAGGTGCTGAATTAATATTTGCTGAATGAATGAACATAATGTTAAGGTATGTAAAAATTACACTTTTTATTTCAAAATATTCTTGTGTATATCATACAGGATTTGGGGTTTTTTTTTTTTTCGTTAAACATGCTTGGACAATTGCTATTGTATTTTGTTTTGTTTTGGATTTTATTAACAGCTTTGTTGAGAGATAATTCACATACCATACAGTTTACCCTTTTAGAGGTCAATGGTTGTTAGTATATACTCAGAGTTGTGCAACCATCACCACAGTCAACTTTAGAACATTTTTACCACTCCAGAAAGAAAGCCCTGCTCCATGTTCCCCAACCACCCTCAGCCCTAGCTAACCATTAATTTACTTTCAGTCTCTGTAGCTTTGCCTATTCTGGATGTCTCATATAAATAGAATCATAAAATGCGTGGCCTTTTGTCTTGGACTTTTTTCTCTTATCATAATATTGTTCCCAACATTCATCCATGTTTTAGCATGTGTTAGTATATAACTTCTTTTTATTGCCAAATAATATGCCATGTCTGGACATAACTTTATCCATTTATCTGTTGATGGATGTTCAGGTTGCTTCCACTTTTTTGGCTATTAGGAATAGTGCTGTGAACATTTGTATACAAGCTTTTGTGAAGGTGTATGTTTTCAGTTTTCTTGTGTATATACCTAGGAGTAGAATCACTGGGTCATATAATATCCACACTTAACATTGTGAAGAATTCCAAATTATTTTTAAAAGCATCCACACCATTTTATATTACCATCAGCCATGTGTAAGGGTTACAGTTTCTCCACATCTTTGCAGTGCTTTTCTTTTTGATTAGAGACATCCTGATGGATGTGAAGTGGTATCTCATGGGTTTGATTTGCATTTCTCTTACAGTTAGTGATGTTAAGCATCTTTTCTTGTGCTTAGTATCCATTTATATATCTTTTTTTGGAGAAATGTCTGTTTTAAATTTTGGGGGTTACTGTTGTTACTTACCTAAACTATTATCTCTGTCTTTGTTTCTTTCTCTAACTATGCTAACCAAGTATATCACTTTCAGATTAATGTTCTTAATATGCCACCTGCTTAGAAACCTTCAGTGCATCTCCTTGATTATGGTGTAGAATTTCTTTAAACTAGGCTAAGACTTTTTACAGTCTTTCTCCTTATGGTCTCTCTAGGCTTTATATAGGAGCTATTTGCTCTAGCCAAGGTGAGGCACTGGATTTTCTTCAGACATGTTTATGTGTCTATCACAGTGAAACTTCAGTCTCTCTCATTTTAATTTAATGGCGTTTATTGTCTATAGAGCAGTTACCCTCTGTATAATATTTTTGTTTCTGCTATACCTGACTTAAATCTGACTCTGGATTTTTAATATTAGGCTACAAACTGTATCTTATTATTTTCCTCAAGAATCTAAAGGTGATTGCATTATACAAAGGAAACAGCTTCTTAGGATGACAGCGTCCTAGAGTTTATTTTGGGGAATTCTTTCACTAACTCTAATCTCTTTCCTTAGCCATGTCTGATTCTCAACGAAAGAGTAATATTTCTTGGCTAAAGCCAGGTTCTAGTTGTTTCTCCCTTCCCCATCCTCACGGTACTCTGGGTAAGCTTATTTACATTGGGCCACGCTTCTTAAGACTTGTGTTTTTTGGTGCAGCTTAATGTTGAAACCTTTGATTGGAACAATCTTTTAAAAATTCTTTAAACTTCTCAGCTTACATAAGTAATATACATGATTTTATTTTTAAAAACTGAGTAAAATAAAATGAGAAGTGCTTATTTATCATCTCAGTCCTCAGAGATAAATACTGTTACATTGTTTTAGGTGTAGATTTAGGTTTATATTCTTTTAGACTTTTTCTCTGCATAAACTGACTGTCTTATTTGTTATCATTGTTATCACAGTAAGAAAAACATTTAACAAATGCCTGAGTACACCCCAAGAAAACATTCTTAGCCATTTGAAAGCTTTTAATCTTGGGTCTAAAAATTCTGAGAATGTATAACGATAGGGCAAAACCATTTGAATAAAAAAAGACACCATGAATTATGGATAAAAGTTATATATTTAACAAATATATCGTTAAATATGAGACAAATGGAGAGTATCAGATAATAAATTAGTAAAGTGCCACATTGAATAGGATCAAGTATCCTTCATAATATATTGTTTTATTAAAAAATTTTTTGGGGGGTGGTAATTAGATTTATTTGTTTTTAAAAGAGGTACTGGGGATTGAACCCAGGACTTCGTGCATGCTAAACATGTGCTCTACCACTCAGCTATACTTTCCCCCCATAATTTATTATTTACTTCTTTGCTTTTGATGCCAGAAACCTCAGAACTAATTTATTTTGTGCAAATCTCCTTAATTGACATTGTTATTTTTTATTCTGTGTTAATGGATCAGCTATAATATTTGTTTTTTTTTGTAAGGTGCTTCAACATCTTCTAGAATCAAGGAAGGCATAAATATACAAGTGTAAAGTATAAATGCCAGGGTGTATGGTAATGGTGAGAAGAAATAATGACTGGTCTGGAAAGAGAGATCAGCATTTGAATAGAGTTGTTGTGAAAGGAGGTGGTGTTTGAAGCATTGCTACTACTTAACAGTAGAAAGGTAGAAAAGAATCAGGAGCAAATATCAAAGAGCAAGAGGCTTAAAGGAAGGAAATGTACAAGGCTTTCCTTGATGTTCCTAAAAGCCACTGCTGCAGATCCAGGAGCTATGAGAATTAATGGCAGTGGGTCATCTCCTTCAGGTGTGTCAGGGATACAAATTAAAAAAAAATTTTTTTTGCCAAGGGAGATGGAAAATAGTAAGAGTTTTTAACAGAGAGCAATCAGTTGGATTTATGTTTTAGAAAATTGATGTAAAAGACTGATAGAATTTAGTGTCAAAACTTAAAATCCTATTCTATGTTTCTGCTCAAATTGGTATTTTTTTAACTATCATACATACATGCATACATACATTATTTGTTTATAGTATATATTTGCTGATTGTTTTCCCTTACGAAGTTGAGGGCAAGTAGAAAATCTCTTTCAGAGAAATGGTAACTATTATAAGTTGTAGAAAAACAGAGTTCTAAAAAGTTAATTCATAATGTTATTGATAAGTGGATTGTTTAGAGAACTTGGGTATGTTTTAATTTCACTTAATTCTTTATAGGGACATCAAAGGAAAGGCAGCCTCACTTTTCCTTTTCAGTATTTACATAAATAAAGTATACCTAAGAGTTCTCATCATGAGGAAAAAAAATTTTTTCTAACTAACTTTTTATCTATATGAGATAGATGATGAATGTTCACTTAACTTGACTATGGTAATCATTTCATGATATATGTAAGTCAAATTGTAATGCTATACACCTTAAGCTTAAAAAAAAAAACAGTGCATTAGTAACACTTTCTGTAATTTGATTCTAACTAATTTATGGAAGTAACCTGAATAGCCATTTCGCTATTTCAGTTTCAGTTGGATTAGAAAGATTGTCTTTTGTGCCATCTTTCATAGATCAAGGTAATTGATGGAGGCAGCTCCTTTGAGAACCTCTGTTGACATTTAAACAATCTCTTAACACTTTTATTGGGTATTGAATATGTCTGTATTGATCCTTGTGTTGGACAGTAGCTTTCCTCTATAATTTAACAAATAAATGCAAAAATCTTAGCACAAAATCATAAATACTTAACTCAAATGTTTTGACAAGTGTGCCATTAAAGCTTTTACAGCTAAGCTCTTGAGGTCATCTAGCCCTCCACCCTCAGTTTTAATCAACAAATCTATACAGACTAGTGACTCCAATCTTAGGGTAGTTAATGTTGAATTTTAGTCCTGGTTCCTGATCGTTAGTCCTGATCGTTAATAGTTGTATAACCTTGTGTATGTCACTAATATCTTTGATCCTCAGTTTCCTTATCTGTGAACTGAGTATATTAACACCTTTGTCACGTGGTTGTTGAAAGAACAGTGTATATGAGTTGAAAAACTTCAAAACAGTATATAAGTGCACAGTAATTATTCTTCTAATTCCTTATTTCTTTCTCCCTCTAGGATTTCTCATATCTAATTTAATATCTTAATAGCAGTCTAAGCTTAAATCTTTTATAAGGTTGGTTGCTTATTTTACATTGTCTTCTTTCTTAACATTATCATTCTGATCTTCTTAAAATGTAAAAGGGGCCAGAATGAATGGCAAGAATGATACTGTTTTGTGAAAGATCATTGGTGTTTAACAGTAAAAATTTAATTTATGACTAGAATGCAGGTGTTAACACTGTTACCAAGAAGCTAATTGGTGGATCACATATTTAAAATTTTCTTTGCCTCTTTGTCCTTTACCTTTTACATCTCCATCCATTATCAAATTGTGTTGATTTTTAATCTTGCATTTCCTGGATCATCTATTCTTTATCTCTAATTCCACGGCCTGGGTCCTTTACCTTGGACATAAGTCTGTTTTCTTACATCCTTCCCTGTCTTTAGCCACTTCCTGTTTAATTATGTTCTATACATAACTTAAGCTATTAGACTGAATTTATCTGTGTTTTGATGCCTGCTGTATGCTAGCATTATACTTCTGTGGGCAAAATAAATACTTTGGTATTTCCTGGAAATTTATTCGTCTCAGTCTTTATTTAAAACTCATCATTTGAGGAAGAGAAACCATCTTATTTTAGTTATTACTAATTAGAATTAAATATTACTGCATTTCCCCAAATTTACTAGAAACACCATATATTTAGCTTCCAATGCTCAGAGACCGGAAGGGTTCTTCATACTTAAAAGTTTAAAGTCAAGAGTTTATTATCCAGTTCTGCCCAGTGAAGACATAGTTCTGCCACAGGGGCTTCACGTGGCCTCTCAAGACTTGTGACCACAGAGGTAGCCCTTGCCTCACTAGTTTTATCTCTTTTCAGTTCATTGTTCTGCTAATTTACTGGTCTCAGCACCCTTATTTGTTTTCCCTTGTTCACTATAGCCTCCTGGTTCTCAAAATAAGTTGGATAAGCTAAAGATTCACTTTTACTTAATTTTTAAATTATCAAAGTTTTTTTTGTGTTGGACAGGTAGGATGAAGAATTGAAATCAGATCAAAAGCATTTACTTTAAGAACAGAAGGATCAGATAGATATGCAGTAGATTGTATGTGTGTCTGTGTAAGTAACTATAAAGCAGGACAACTTGTTTTCTATCATGACTGATCATTTGGTTCAACAAAAGTATTAAATGTCTCTCAGGTTTAAATCACTGAGTGCAATAGCAAGTTATAAAGACAGGTTATAACCTTGCCATGAAGAGAATTACAGGGTGAGTTAAACAGGTAAAAACTAACAAACTTACTAAGACAGAATAAAAAGCTGTAGGAACCATACATAAATATGAAAATGCTGTGGAAGCAGAGAGGCAAGAACAATTTAACTTCTTATGTTTAAAGAAGTACTCAATCAAAGAGAAGGGGACATTTGTCTCTTAAGAAGTAGGATTTTATTGGGTGACAAGGAAGAAGGATCAGTATGGTGGAGGGGGTAGCACATATGAGGCCTGAAATTACATGTCCCTTGTGAAGGACAGCAAACAGCTACAGGTGGTTAGAATACCAGGGGCCTGGTGGGATTTGATCTAGGAAGGGTCTGTGAAGGTATATAGTAAACAATGTAAAATGCCCCAGAAGGGTTTAAACTTCATTTTGCAGGCATTAGAGAATCATTGAAAAGTATTGACATGATCATATCTGTTCTAGGAAGATAATTTCTAGAAGCTGTGAGAGGTTGGATTGCAGAAGTTAAAATAAAAACAGACAATTACAGGCTTCTTGAAGAATAGCGTAGGCTTCTTGAAGTAGCCCAGGTGACTGATAATAATGACATTTTTCTGATTCCTTTTCTTCCAGTTTGTCATTTTTAGTTTTTTTACTCTTCAAAAAAAAAATTCAAGTATGATTGATTTACAGTGTTTCAGGTATACAGCAAAGTGATTCAGTTATACATATGTATATACATACATATATAAATATGTATTCTTTTTCAGATTCTTTTCAATTATAGACTATTACAGGATATTATAGTTCCCTGTACTACATAGTAGGTCCTTGTTTATCTGTTTTTATATATAGTAGTATGTATCTGTTAATCCCAAATTTCAAATTTATCCCTTCTCACCTTTCCTCTCTACTAACTTTATTTTCTGTGTCTGTGAGTCCTTTTCTGTTTTGTAACTGAGTGCATTTGTATCATTTTTTTTTAGATTCCACATAAAAGTGATATTCTATGATATTTGTCTTTCTCTGTCTCACTTAGTGTGATAAGCTCTAGGTCCATCCATGTTGCCGCATATGGCATTTCATTCTTTTTTATGGCTGAGTAATATTCCACTGTATTTATATACCACATCTTCTTTATTCATTCATCTGTCACTGGACACTTAGATTGCTTCCATATCTTGGTTATTGTAAATAGTGCTGGCTTGAACATTGGGATGCGTGTGTCTTTTCGAGTTAGAGTTTCCTCTGGATGTATCCCCAGGAGTGGGATTGCTGCATCATGTGGTAGTTCTTTTAATCTTTTAATTTACTGTGGGGATTTAGATTTTAGGAAGCAGTACATTGGTATATTTCATAGTATTGAGACTATAATGAAAGTTTTATGTGATCTGAACTTTGAGGTTTTTAATTATTTTGGGTTTTTTGGGGGGGTAAGTTTGTTTGTTTGTTTGTTTCTTTCTTTAAAGGAGGTACTGGGGATTGAACCTAGAACATCAGGCATGCTAGGCATGTGCTCTACCACTGAGCTATACCCTCCCCCTCTGAACTTTGAGATTTGAACCCTTAAGTAATTTCTCTTGCCCAGGCTTTGCAGTGACCTTTGGACAGACTTTTAAATTCTGTTGAGCTTGTTTTTTCATGTGTAAAATTAAGATGATAATACCTGTGTCATAGAATAATCTTGAGTATTGAAATGACCATATTCAAGTGCCAGACTCAGTAAACACTAACAGTTGGTGTTAGTTTCCCTTACTCCTTTAATTTCCCCATTTAAAGTTTCCTAAAATGGCTCTCATGTGGTTGGGTGGGATTATGTGACAAACTAGCTTTCAAAAGTTTGCATCCCCAAAAGAGCCACTGAGGGCAGATCATTTCCTTCCTGTCAGATCTGCATTGTTCTTGGTTCTAGGTTTAATCAATTTTAGAGGACCATAAGAGCCCCTGAGATAAAATGAGCTTATGCATAATTGTGTGGGCTATTTCACCTTTTCTCAGACCAGAAATGTATTAAAAATAGGAATTTTCTATTTTTCTGTGATAATCTTGTGATTAAATTAGGCTTTGTGTTAAGCGCTAGGGCTTTATGGTACATACTAATCAAGAGATAAATCTGGTCCCCACTTGAATGTTTTCTTTTCTGAAAAAGACATCGTACTTAGTGCTTCCACTTAAGACTTCTCACAATATCTCAAATTTTGTACGTTTATTATAATACACTTGATTTCCTGCCTTTGCTGCCCTCCTCAAACTTGTTCTTTCCCAGATCTTTTCCATTTTATTAAATGATACCACCTTCCATTCAGTTATTCACTCCAGAAACCTGGGAGTTATCCTTTCTGCTGCTTTTCCCCAACTGATTCATCTATGCAGTCTAATCCTGTTGGTTGTCTTTTTCCCTCCCCATATTCATGTTCACCACCCTAGTCTAAATCATTGTCATCTCTTAATTAGATGGCTCTAGTAGTCTCTCAAGCACTAGTGGACAGAAGTATTTGATGTACGTGAAGTCGAGAGATTCAGGACCGCCACCTGGGACTGTGCCAGCTGGGTGCCTAGACTATCTATGCGTTGGACTGTATATTGAGTTTCTTTGGTAGCTGCTATATAAACTTACCTAGCAACTCACAAAGGCCCCTTAGTCTTGAAGGGTACTGGCATTCTCTGAACTTTGCTGCTGGAGTAGATATCCAGGTGGTAGAATATTTCCTTGGTTGTGATCATCTCATTCATAGGGAAGCAATGAGATGTCACCTGTGGCAACCATGGGTTGCTCTACTAGATTCAAATCTACTTATTGCACCTTCCACACAGGGCTTGGACAAGGTTGTTTTATGGCAAAGGTTACTGCCTCAAGGGTGAAGGCTAAGGATGTAAGAAGGTCTTGCTAAGATAATGAGATATATGAGATGGTAAAAATAATCTGTTTGTATCTCTCTTCCTTAAGTGGCTTTTCAGTATGCTTAGAATGAAGTCCAAATTCCTTATCTTGGCTTAACAAAGCTAAATTTGATCTCACCTCATTTACCATTTTCCCCTCTTTGCTGTGCCTTTCCTCAGGTATACCAAGCTTTTGTACCTCTGTCTGGCATTTCCCTTCTTTCTACCTTCCATCTTCACATGGCTGGCTCCTTGTCATTTAGATGGTTGCTTAAGAGTACTTCTTTAGATTTCTTTAGTACCAAGTCATATTCTGTCACATTAGGCTATTTTTCATTACGGGGACTTGCCTCTAATTGTTCTATCCACAGTTTAGAGCAATATCTGAGACACCATAGACATTCTGATATGTATTGACTAAGTTTGTCAGTGCACTTTTAAATTGACCTTAGAGTTCTGAGACTACTGATGCTGACAGTGGGGTGGTCTACTGATGGGAATTGGGGTGGCTGGTATGGGCAAGTCTCATATTTTTTAGTAGGTTGGGAAGAAATACAAAAGTAATACATGAATAGAATTAGTATTTTAGGGCAAACTGCTTATCTGAAATAAAATGTTTTGCTTAAAAACATTAAAATAATAAAAATAATAATGTTCTGTTGAACCTTTATGAAATTAAATTGAAGGATGAACTAACATCTCAAATATTGAAATCCCCCTCCCCCCCTTTTTTTAACTTAGTCATTTCAGCAAAACTTAAAGAAAATAAAAAGAATTGGTTTGGACCAAGTCCGTATGTGGAAGTCACTGTAGATGGACAGTCAAAGAAGACAGAAAAATGCAACAATACGAACAGTCCCAAATGGAAGCAGCCTCTTACAGTGTAGGTTTGGAAATATTTTCTACAGTATATTTTGTACAGTAGGTGAGCAGAAATGCTATTTTAAAGAAGTTTTTCACGTATTTTCATGTTCTTCTTATCTCTCTCATCTTTTTTTGTTTTTTCTTTTTCCCTTAAGACTACTTCTTCCATTCCCCTTTCTCTTTAGTTCTTTGCTTTTCCAGCCTCTCCTTTTCTTTGCATTTTCCTATTTAGTTGATGATAGTATCACTGTTGCCAGTGAACAACAGCTGGGAGAGCTGGTCGTCATGGGCCTAGAAAGATTCTTGGCAGCTCTTTCCTTAGGGTTGAAATAGAGGGCTATGAGTAGCTCACTTTTTCTATGGCCTTGCAGTAGTACACATACACACACATACACACACACACACACACACACAAGAATATATATTTATATAAACTGAAGTACAGTTGAATTACCTCACTTTAATTTTTAAATTCGCAGAAGTTCATTCTAATGCTCCTTATCTGTATTTAGTTCAACATTGTTTCTTAGACTTTGTTTTTAATTAGTGGCCCATTAGAGATTTAATCTATATTAAGCAATATGTGAGTAACATTTTTTAAAAAAACAAATAAAATCTTCAGAAGGTTACAGCCTCCATAATGACTAGAGAAGTTCAGAATAATAGACTACTCATTTATTTTCTATCAACTGCTATCTGTGCTCACTAAATATGTACTAGGGATCTTAAGCTGATAACAACATGAACTCCTTAGTGGTTTAAAAGTTAAGGAAAAAGAAATTTTCCTTGCTGCCCTATATGATTCTGCTATTCTTAATTTAAAAAAAAAATTAAATTGAAATAGAGTTGATTTACAGTGTATTTGTTTTTGTTGCACAGCATCAGTACTACTGCTCTTAAGCCAAGGCATTTGGGGGAACACATAGCTCAAGTTCTTCCAGTTGAGAAAGTAGTTGTGATTATGAAGACTTTTGCTTTTGTTGCTGATCCATGCATGAAGTTGCCCCTAATGTTCAGCCACAAGTGAAGACTGCAAACATGTAGCATGTAGATTTTTTTTAAAAGATGACAGAATATAGGTAACATTGATTGTACAGTAAACTATAAGGGGTGCAATGAAAACCTTAATTGTAATTTATTTAGGATTACATTGTGATATTTAATGTAAATAATCTTTTTTTCATCTTTTTTCACAGTATTGTTACCCCTGTGAGTAAATTACATTTTCGTGTGTGGAGTCACCAGACACTGAAATCTGATGTTTTGTTGGGAACTGCTGCATTAGATATCTATGAAACATTAAAGTCAAACAATATGAAATGTATGTATGTATAAATAATAGAAAGTATGCTCAGGTTTTGTTTTTCTGTTAAGAAATTCGTAGGCTAAATGTGGGGAATGACTATGTTCACTATTTGTTTTTAAGATTTTCTTTGTTAGACTATTAATAGGGAGATGAATCTTGACCCGTTTAACGCATTCTCAGTAACCATGATTTGGCCATTCATTTTTGGAACCAATATTTTGAATATTTATTTAGTAAATAGATACTTATTGAAGTGCTGTATATTCAGTTATGGAAAACTAAAAAATATAGAGCAGAAATAAAGGAAAAATCTCACTACAGAGACACAGATATGGTTAATATTTTGACAGGTTTCCTTTTCAGATGATGATGATTGCTGAGGGGGGGCAGGTAATTAGGCTTATTTATTTGTATATTTCTTAATGAAGGTACTGGGGAATGAACCCAGGACCTTGTGCATGCTAAGCACATACTCTACCACTGAACCATACCCTCCCCCCCCAATGATTATTTTTTTAAATTTCTCATTTTAGATGGTTGTGGTTTTATTTATATGTGTATATCTCTTTATATATATCTGTGTATACTAAAGATACGTAAAAACTTGAAACATGCTTGTTTTAATGTCATAATTTCAAAACAGATTTTTTTAAACCCTTGATTATCTAAAAATACTTCTAAGAATTTTATTTCTCACTTAGGATTTATGAGATAAAATTCATTCTTAAATTATATGTTTTCACTCAATATAATTCAGACATGTTTTTTTTTTTTGCTAGGGGAAGGTAATTAGGTTTGTTTATTTATTTATTCTTAGAGGAGGTGCTAAGCATGCACTCTACCACTTGAGCTATACCCTCCCCTGCCAAGCATATATTTTTGAGTGGTCTTAAATGTCCTGCTGGCTCATTTTATATAAAGAGGGAATGAATATAATAAATAAGATGATTGAGCTATTCAGTATTTTACACTGTGGATATTAAACATTAGCAAATTTTGTTCTATTTTTAAAATATTTTGGCATTAAAAGGTCTGAAACCTTGGGTGAAGTTTATTAAAACAAATTGTATACATAAAAATGTAAATTTTTTCTGACATTGTTTTTAACAGTTAAGATGACTTAAAGGAAAAAAAGTGACTGTTTTCTGTAATTTTATTCTCTTCCAGTTGAGGAAGTAGTTGTGACTTTACAGCTGGTAGGTGACAAAGAACCAACAGAGACAATAGGAGATTTGTCGATTTGTCTTGATGGACTGCAGTTAGATTCAGAAGTTGTTACTAACGGTGAAACTACGTGTTCACAAAGTAAGTAATCACTTCTTGAATAGGATCTTTAATGATTCTTCTTACATTAGTCACCGTAGTATGTTGTAGCTACTGCTTTTCTTTTTCACATTAAAGAAATTATTTCTTTTTAAGAAGAGAGATTGATCATTTAAAAATTTCCTTTTAGTGCATTGTTTCTATGAAGAAAACATTTTTCCTTAAGTTGAAAACCTAGCCAAATAAAAGCAGAATATAGCTGGCCCTATGAGTGATGAATTGATATATATGAAGTATTCATTTGGTAAGCCAACAATAGCAGTTAATGTGGTATATTTAATGCCACATCTCTTCCAGTGCCAGTGGCAAACGTAGTTTATTTTCTGTAGCAGTGTCTGAGTTTAAATTTGATTCAAAATTCTTTTAAATACTGTACTGGACAAACCAATACAAGCTGGAATCCATTTGCCAGTCCTCTTCCATTTTTGTAGGCTACATTTATTGAGATGTTTTTGAGTTAAATAATGACAGAACCAATTTACTATATGCATGCTGGTATATTTTATAATTTAGTAGTGTTTGTTAAAGGGAATAAATATGATTAAATGAAGTTTGCTGGCACCTGAATTAGTGCCTGCACAGCTAGCATACTTAATAAAACTACTTCTCAGTGGATTACCTTTAGATATTTCCATACCTTTCTAATGTGCTACTAAGTGTATTTTCACTTGAAATGTAGATTTTAGAGGTAAGACAAAGAGTGGATTAATGGTTTCCTTGTTAGTCTAACAAGGTCTTTTTATTTAGAAATTGCATTCTGAAACATTTTGCAGCTGTCAGATGCTGCCATACTTCTGTTTCTACTTTGGAAGGCTTCATACTTCCTCTTTAACTCATAACCTTTTTTTGATAGCAGGTCCTTTAAGGTAGTCCTAGTGTGTTTTCTAGGTTGGTTCTTTGGGGTTAATGAGGATGGGAGAGAAATTTCTGAAATGGTCATACTGCTTCAGTATTGACACGTTCATTTTAATTGACTGCTATTCACAAGAACGCTGTAATGGTTATATTGGTTACATTTTTCTATAAATTGGAATTCTGGAAGATAATAAAAGTTAAATTACATTGTTAAACTGCTCTAAAACCTCAGTATTTGTAGCTTCCGAAGTTTTTTCCCTATAAATTGAAACTACTGCTAATGCAGAATATTTAATAATTAGTAAAGCATATTAGTATTCATATATCAGAGTAGAATCTAAGCTGCATATTTATACTTACGTTACTGTTTATTTTCTACGTAAGTGGACATTTCTGTGTCACCAGTTTTCCACTCAAGTAGGAAAATAATTGACAGAATTTAACCTAATTCCTTGAAGTAAAGAGAGCTTTTAACTGGGAAGTCGTGGTGGATTTTAGGGTTGGAGTTACCAGATAAAAAAGCTGCTGTTCTTTGAATGTTTACCAGGTGCCAGGCACTATGTTAGTGTGTTTACGTATATGCTAATTTGACCATCACAGTTTTGTAAGTCATTACCTGCGTTTTGTGTATGAAGAAAAGTGAGACTCTGAGAGCTTAAGTAGTATGTCCAGTATCACACCAACCAGTATGGTGCAGAGTCAAGACTGAAACACAAATATTTATTACTTCCTTTTCTTTCCAGTATGCTTTTGGTTTCACACTTGAAAACTTAGGAACTTTAAATCAAATCGTGAATTGTTGTAAGTAAGCAGACAAAACCCAGTTAGTTAAGCCCACAAGCACCTGTGGTGGAAACTACTTTTGTTGTTTTTTGATTGGTTTCATTTCTGTAACTTTAAGAAATGAGAATTAGAGCATAGCATTAAAGTTGAATTTCTAGCACCTGTGCATTGGTTGGTTGCCTTTGTATTCTGATATTTTTCTGATGTTGCAGACTTTTAGATTCCTTTTTTGGTGCATATTCAGTCAGACTTTTTGTGGAAGAACACATAGGATGATTCTTATAAGAAGTCTGCTCTTTCAGACTTTAACTTTTTGGTTAATTTAAAACAATGTTTATGAAAGGAAATATGTCTGAATTTTGGTCAGACATATTGAAAAGTCACCAAATAATAGCTTGCTTTATATTTAGATGTACTGTGAAGATTGGATTTTCCTGATGAGACAGCATTATCTCTTTTGGTACTTAAAATTTTCGTTGTTTTTGGTGGATAAATTTTCTTAAAATATCAGTTATATAAATAAGCCTTTTACAAATATCACTCAGCATGTTTGTTCTTCCCACTTCTTCAAGCTTTAAAAATTAGAGAGCTTTACATTCCCATTCTACCACCCCTACTGCTATCCTTACTCAAGGAACAAGTTTAGTATTCCAGCTGAGTCTGAGAGTTGTAACATTTTCTTTGATACGTTCCTGTTTTTCTGTTTAGGAGGTAACATTACAATCTGTCTTGGTGTTTTCCTTTTCTTAAGTACAACTGTTAATCTTCTTTTTTGAGTCTTTGTAAAGAAGCAGCCTTTATTTAATTTGCTAATTAGGTAGACTTGTAGCTCTCAGTCCTCACTTTACTCAATAAATTGGGTGTGGGGCAGTTGTTCATTTCTGCACAGACTTCCCATTCATCTATTTTTACTTCTTGGGCGGGTGGTGGTGGAAGATTGTTAGTTTAACACCTGTCTTCCCAAGTATGACATTTGACAAACACTGAAAAGTATCATCATCAGAGACATTCGTTTTCCTTAAGAGGAATAAAAGTCTCTTTACTTTTAAATTCATAATTATAAAATAGAAACATACTATTGTAAAGATCTTCATTCTTTACCGTGTGTGCCCTGGACTTAATTTGGGGATAGTTTTTGGCATATAAAACCTCCAGTTCTTATTGTATATGTTCCATTCTGTTCTGATTTTATCTCATTATCTCATTTTTTCTTAGTCTTTCTCATTAGAATCTAGTTTTTGTGGTTCCTTTTAATTTTAGGGTAAACAGTCGTTTTCATGTGTGGTTATATCTATAGTGTTTTTTATCAGTAAAATAAATTCTAAGAAACTAGCCTAAAGTTTTTGCTCTACCAAATATTGTTTGAGATTACTACATCTCAACTGGCTCTGGGTACCAGCTAAATATTTTATAGAGAGAAACTCTATAATATGATCATTGTTGGTTGCAGCTAAGACTATTCTTTATTCATTTTTACAGTTTAAAAAGTACTTTGATTTATATTCTTATACATGTACTACAACATATGTTCTCATATTTGATATGTATAAAATATAAACCAGAGTCATTAAGTGAACACCCATGAACTACCACACAAGTCTTCCCTGTATCATTCCTTGTTTTTTTCCTAGAGATTATTATTATGCTGAATTTATCATTTCCTTTAAAATTTTTTTCACATATTCATGTATCCTTAAACAGTTGTGCTTTTTCTTGAGTTCTATGAAAAATATCGATGTTGCCTTTAAGGTTTATTCATATTAATGTATCTGTAACTCATTTATTTTATTTAATAATCTATTGGGTGAATATACTACACTTTATCCATTTTTATGTCTAAGGACATTTGAGATGTTTCCATTTTTTTTTTTGCCTTAATGAACATGCAGCGATACATAGAACATTTTTGCCTTTATATGTTCATATATCTTCTGATATATAGGTTGAAGGGTTTTTGCAGATTTTATGCATGGGAGTGGAATTGCCGGGATATAATGATATGTGCATTTTCAGCTTTATAATGCTGTTTCTTCAAAAACTGTTTTGAGATGAAATTTACATAATATACAATTAATACCCTGGTTTTCTTCAGATCACATAAATATTTCGCCTTTTACGTAGTATACAATTAACCTTATGAAGTGTACAATTCAGTGGCACTTAGTGTAGTCACAGTGAATACCTCTAGTTTCAAAATCTTTTCATCATCCAGAAAAACCAAATTATTACGCATTAAGTAATCACTCCCCACTGTCCTCTCCCTCATCTCCTGGTAACCACTAATCTGCTTTCTGTCTCTATGGATTTGCTTATTCTGGTTTTATCATAAAAAATGAATTATATAGTATATGACCTGTGTCTGAATTCTTTTGCTTAGTATTGTTTTGAGGTTTTGAGTTCTTCTTTTTGCATTTTCTTGTTTTTTCTTCTCTGTGTTCTGTTTTTGCTGCAATCCGTGTGCCTACCTAATAGCCTCCCTCTATATCACTTTTATAGTACACAGGCCCTCACTGAATCCTAAGGATATTCCCCCAAATAAAATGTGCAGAAAGTATGAATGCTGTGGCATTCATTTTGGCCACTTTGAGACCAATGTGTGACTTTCCTGTTCTTGAAGCTGTTTTTAAGGCCTTTGCATAAGAAAGATATTACTGGTTTTTCTGTTTTCAAAAATCTGTTTTATCCATCATGCTGTTAGTAATCAGCACTTTTTAGGGGAGGAAGTTAGAATATAAAAGATGGCTAAAGTACATTTGAATTAGAATCAAGCCAACATATATTTCAAACAAGGCAGAAGTAGCAAATGAGTAATATACCTTGACTAATCATCTCTTACACATAATCATATGCATACACAAAAAATGATAATCATTTGCACCATTAGTTTTTGCTAAAACTTTTCTAATTTCAATCACTTGAACATTTATCACATTTTACTTTTAAATATCATGTTGGAATTTAATTCCATTCTAATATGTTCTTTACTAGAAAGATTTAATGAAAGTTTTGTCTACATAGCATGTTCAAGAAAGAGTTCACATGAAAACCACTTTTTAAAACTCATTTTCTGTCTAAATTTTGTTGATGTTAAAGGTGCTTCACAGAATGATGATGGCTCCAGACCCAAGGATGAAACAAGGTAAGAGTTCACCTGTTAACCTATTACGTACCACAGAATGCAGAAACAAGGGAAGATAAATAAAGTTTCATTTTAGGCAAAACTTAAAGTTCAGATTGATATAAGAATAAATGAGGGTCCAAAAAAAAAAAAAATCAGAGCTCAAGGTAAGAAAGGAAATGTTTATGGAAGATTCAAGATTCTTAGCTTATCTGACTGCAGTTCTCTGGAGTAGGATGGAGATCCCCAAATGCTAATACTTCAGTTTCTTTAGGAAAGCTGGGCTATAAATTTTGGGTATATGTGAAGGTCACTACTAGGTGTGGTATCTTCTGGGCCTTCATTAAGAAGGGGCAGAGATTTATACCAGCTGTTTGCTCTTAGCCTAGATTCAGGATTTTCATGTGTCTGTCTCCCTTCAGGTCTAGTGCCTAAAAAGTGATGAGTGCCTTGAGTTTTGTTAACTCACTTAACAAACTTTAAGTGTTTACTGATTGTCCTGGAAACTGGTAATGGGAGATAAAATTAGGTAAAGAGGTGATCCTAGTTTAAAGCAGCAAGTGACATGTCTTTAATAGTTCCAAAATCCCATTGGATTCTTTGTTTTTTTCCAAACTGGTTAAGCAGTGGGTAGGGAGAGCATGAACCATGGAAGGAATAGTCTGAGGAGGAGAAGAACCAGAAAAGCAGTGTCACAGAACAAAAGGAAAAGTACCTAGAAGGATGGAGTGTTACAGTGTCAGATGCTGCAGAGGAGGTTAGGTGGAGCAAACAGAACAAAATGTTTGATAGTTGTAGAAGCCGAGTTGATAGGCACATAGGAGTTTGTTGTAATAGCTGATCTACTTTGGTGCTATATGAAAAACTTACTAAGATTTTTGGGAAAATCAAAGTTTATAAAGCTGTTGTGTTTTACCTAATAGAGATCTATCAGTGACAAAGAATTATCTCCTATACTACTCTCACAAGAAGTAGAATATTAAAGAGTAGTTAATTTCTTGCCCAGAGAAAACTACTTTTATTTCTCACCGATTAAACAGCAATAGAAAAGGTTTTAAAAATCAATAACCATCTCTGTAGGCTGGAAGACAGCTTATACCTCTTGTGCTTTTTATTTATTTATTTATTTTTTTGAGGGGGAGGTAATTGAGTTTATTTTTGGAGTAGGTACTGGGGATTGAACCCAGGACCTTGTTCATGCTAAACATGGGCTCTACCACTTAAGCTATACCCTCCCTCGTAGATTTTTTCAATTCATGAAATTTCCCCCATAAAGATGTTTTAATATTTCAGTTTGCTTTGGTCACATAACTCCTCTTTTGCATAATAACCCCATATTTTTGCATTAATAAGTGAGAATGTGATAGAATTTTATAGTTCATTGAAAGGTTCTATTATGCCACTCTGTTGCTTCTTTTTTTGAAAATCTTTCTTGTAATACTTTATGAAACCACCTCTAGACAGTTATAAACTTCTTACAAAGGCATTGCTAGAGCCCTAGCTTCATGCAATTCATTTAATCAATGCTTTACATTTTCCCAAGTAAATCACTGTCACAAATAATCTGAGAAACAGTGTCTTCTAGGTTTCTGAGACTGCCAGACTAATCTTTCAGCATGTCTTTTGTGTTAAACTTAAATTCCTTTGTATTAGCCTTTTGCAGAGAGCATACCTCTGAGATGGTGATTTGAAAAGCGTTTTGTAAACTGTTAAATGCTATTTAAATGTTACTACACAACAATCATGGCTGTGACTGGCTTTTCCCCTTTGGTTTTGTTTGTAGACTTCATAACTACAAGACTAAAAGGCAGGGCAACATATATCCAGTGAGCAAGCCCCCCCACCCCCCAATAATTTAAGAAGTTTACTAAATAGCTTTAGGTTCTTTCACCTTTTTGTTTTAATTCATGCACTGTGTATCTTAAATGTAGTCCTTTTGGTACCCTTTCCCCCTATAGCATGTCTGGATGTTTTATATTTCTCAGTGTTGTCTTCCTGTCACTTTTATGAGGTACCAAGATGATTGGTGCCTGGTGTTTTTGTTAATTTTGTTGTTGGATGTACCTTCTTGACTGTTAATCTTTGATTTGTGTATTTTCTATGACTATTGTATTAGTGTCTTGGTTCTCCAGGGTTCTTTATCCTATCCACAAACATCTGAGCTTATGTGTAGATCAGATATATATGTATGGTGAGAAAAGCAGAGGTTTATAAGACTAAAGCAAAGAACAAAGCCATAGTAGTACCTAATTTGTAGCTAGTTGTATATTGGTGATAAGTTCACACCGACAATTCTGTATAGTATATAGTTTTCCTTATTGGTTTTCCAAATCCACTTCAGGTTTTAACTTAACACCCACATATTAAAGGAACTAAAATAAACCACAAGTGCTATTTTAGTATCACTGTGTTCCTCAAACTTTAGTGTATATTAGAATGACATGGGAACTTGTTCAACCATGAATGCTGAGTCTCATTTCCAGTTCCCAAATAGTTAGGTGTAGGGTAGGGCCCAACATTTTTCACAGGTTTCTAGGTGATGCTGATAGACAGGGTCCTACACTTTGAGAACCACTTCTTGTTAGACATACAGGTATTTCTTAGAATACAACAAACTATTATGGGAAATCTTTCCAGTTATAAATGAAGTCTATTTCTTGAAAATCCAGGATTGCACAATTTGCCAGGAATGTCACTCCATCTTAATCTCATCCTTTTTTGCTTCAGAGGTAGTTTGAATCTTGTTTCTTGTTTCTTTTTTGAACTGCTTTTTTTAAAATTAGAAAATGATACATGATTGTTTTTTTAAATGTGAAACAGTGTATAAAATGTATAAAAGCTTCATGGAAGTAATGGCCTTTGACCTAAGACCATAAACCAAGTTATAATGGATGTACATGTCTTGAAGGAATTGTAGGGAATTCTCAGTGGAAAAAAGAAAAACAGTCATGGAGGTGGGGAAGAACACAGAGTGTTTTATTGAAAATCTTCAGTCACAATGTTTGGCTGAAAGTAGAGTAATTGAAAGTGGGAAATGGCAGGTGGTGAATTTGAGAGTAGAGTCAATCAATATTTGTCTTTTATGATGTGTCAGGCAGTATGACGAACATGTTTCCTGTTATTTCAGTTAATCTTTAAATATTTTTATGAAGTGGGCAGGTATCGTTTTTATAGGTGATGAGAAAACAGGCTCAGAAAGGGAAAGGAACTTGGCTGAGTTAACAGTGTAAGTGGCACAGTTGAACCTGGAACTGCCTTACCTTCAGAGCCTGAGCTTATAATTACTGTGTTTCACTGCTGCCTAAAGTGAAATGCTGGTCCCCCCACCATGTAAGTAAGTACTTATCCAACTCAATGAATGTTATTTTTAATATTACAGAGGTTGGGGCCAGATGGAGATTTTGGTTTGCAAGTATAGGCTTATAGAATCATTTTCTATGGAGAGGACTGTCTTTTAAAATATTTGAAGAAGGCATTGATATGATCAAAACTCTGTAAGAAAAATTATTTAACAGTTGTATATAGTTTGGATTATATGGTGGTGGTGAAGATTAGAAGACCTATGTGGAAACTTGTTACAGTATCCACTGAGAAAGTTGGAGCAGTGGTGGTAGACGAATAGAGAGAATGTGGAAGTGAAATCAGTGGGACTAAGCATTGAGTGTCAAGAGGCACAGAAGAGAAGTCAAATTGCCTAAGAAAATAGCAGTGTCACCCATAGAACTAGAACATAGGAGGAAGAATAGCTTTAGGACTGGAAAGTTATTCTAGATCTCCTGCATTTAGTTGATAATTTGGTGCCAGAGAAATGAGAACCAGGCAAAGGTTAGAGATTCTGATTTGGAATTATTTTAGAGATAAACTTTGAAATCATGGAATTTGAGACCCCAGGGGGAAATTCGTGGAGAATGAAAGGGAAGACAAGAACAGAACCATAGGGTCCTATATTTAGTGAAGAGGAAAGGGACAAACCGAAGAAGGGATGTTTAGAAGTGGGAGCGCAAAATTAGAAAAGCAATTTCACAGAAATTAAGAGAAAAGTGTTTTTAGAAGATGAGGGGTTTAATTTTCAATACTACAGAAGAGAATGAGGTCTTAGACTAATCAAGTCGGGGAAAACTGGCTGTATGGAAAATGAAATATCAGGTTAGAACTTTAGCTCATCCCCAAATCAGAGTAGACTCCAGATTGAGTTTTAAAATTGATTTTTAAAAATGAAACTATGAAACAGTTAGAAGAAAATATTTCTGAATACATTTAATTATGTAGAAATATAAAACTCTTATATATTCAAAAATACAGAATTAAAAGCAAATGACAAACATTTAACCAATATGAAAGATGATAAATTATTACCTTTAGATTGTAAAAAGCTCTTACAAATAAGGACAAAACTTTTTTTTATTTTTTATTTTTATTTTTTATTTATTTTTTTCACATT